TTCTACATATAACCAGCAACCACAGCGATGCTTGAACTTTTAACCTGTTGTAAAAGAGAACCTGGAACATCATAGAAGTCGTGTTTGGCAGATTCAAGGCTACTATCCACCGGCGTAAGCAGACACAGCGTGCGATGGATTTCAGTTTCCCGGGATTCTCTCACAGACGTCACCAGACGAACCGCGCAGGAATGACTGTCAACGAGTATCCAATCAAGTAATCACGTTTTCGCTCGGTCGCTCAACACAATGCCCACGGTGACATATCCAGCTGCAGGGGTCGGCGCATCACCAGAGGTGTGCAGCTAGGACCTGGAAGAGATCAAGGGAGCAGTCAGTCCTTCCGTCTCGCATCAATGCACAGGAAATCCAGCGTACAAGCAAGAGCCACGTGTCATCCTGATTGCTTCAGTGTACAGAGATTGAAGGCGACAACATAGACAGGTTTTCGGGGTTTGAGCACTAACTTCTAGGTGTTTATGGTTGTTCTTGAAGTCGGATGTACAGAAGCTGCAGCTGAGTGTGATACGTGGGGAGCAAAACAGTCAATCCTAGTGCTGGGACCTGTGGAGAGTATTCAAATTGGCGCGGGTCAAGGTGGAAGAGGGAACACGTGAAAGTGCAAGAAGGGGAGCTGCAAGACTGGGTGGGCTTGAAACCCAACCGCATGCTTGCTGGTGAACCAGTTGAGGTAATGTACAAATTTGTCTACCTGGGGAGCCCTATCGGTCCTAATGGTCTGGCAAAAGATGATATCCCCATCCGGAGTGAGAAGACTGGAGAAGCTTTTGTGAACCTGATTCATCTTTGGAATTAGCTTAGCCCTTAAGGATCAAGTTCAGTATGCTGTTGTGCGCTGTAATGCGAATCAGAATCCTGGCCACTTTACGCTGAGAATTTTGAAAATTTTTCAGTATTTGACCACTGATGCCTTCAAAGCATTGCCCGAGTCTGATGGGAACATCGGATCAGCAATGCTGGGGAAATAACTCATCCCCGATAGATTAAACTCTGTTGTTTGCTCTGAATTGGTCAAGCGCTCCGTGTGCTAGCCGACCGACTTCTTCCAATAACTCTTTACGCACAACCACACGGAACGTGGAAACACGCCAGCGGAAGTCAAACAGTGAGTTGGTGATGAAGATGATGTTGCTGACGATAATGGTGAGGGCTCTAATGAAGGGTTTTCAAGCTATCTTAAAAGACATACCGGTGGGGCTGATATGGGTAATTTCCAGTTAGCCATCTTTTTCACGCCGATCAGTGGAATTTTTAGCGTGTACTTGCAGTCTTCTGTGTTTCGCCCGGCTAATTTGCATTCGTACTACTTCCCCATGCGCGTGTTCGGTAAATCCGTCACGTGACTAACATATTTAAACCTCAAGCTGGTGCAATCGATGTAGGAGACCAACAGTCTGGTCTAGATTCGATGGGAATTCCTCACGTAGATGAAGAGATCATCATTGACCCAACCTATGGAGATCGATGGACTTATGCACAATATTTTGATTACGATCTGCGTGGCCGTCCATTGGGTTTCGTTCCAAAAATAAAAAAGCCGAATGATTTCCATTACCTAGCTCAAATTGATAAAACTGACACGGCTCTTTTTGTAGTTGGAGTGATACTCGCAACATTTGTGCTGCCTATGGTATGGAGCTACTTGTGTATACTCAAAGTCTATCTGTTCAATCGAATTCGTACCAGATGGCAAATGGAGCGTGAAAAGCGCGCTTGTGTGACACGGAAAAACTTTCTACAGCCGGATGATCCAGATCAATATGCAGCAATTTTTTGCCGGTCTCTTTTCAACAGGTTAGATGCAGCTACGTCCGGGAAGCAAATACCAAAAGACCTGGCTGATTATGAAGCTATTCGATTCGCCGTACATCAACCCAAATGGCTTGTAAATAAAATGCAGGAAGCCTTGCAGAAGGCAGAGCATGGCTACACAATAAATGAAGTCGTTAGTGGAGAGCTGGACGATATGTTGAAACTGGCTTTGAAACAGAAGTGTATCAAAACTCGAAAACCTTTGTCATTACCTGGGAAGTTGATGGCTCGGTATATGCTGGCTAAAGGTGAAAGTCGAAGTCAGAAAGATAGCAGACTGACGCCAGAAATGTTGTTGCTCCTCGGTTGGCAGCGGCTGTACAGACGACACGTACATGACGCGAATGAAGAAAACTATGCCTGGTGGCTAAGCCAGATGAAAACACTGCCGCTGGAGTCACGTGAGGTACTTGAGCGCTTACAGACTATCGTTGATAAACAGCGAAAACACCGACGATTTCTTGGGACGAAACACCTTGAAGAACTCGATCCCAGTTCGACAGATGGATCGAGTTTGCCGCGGGAGGCTAAGAAGCCGGAAATTATAGAACCAACTAGAAAACGCCCCAAGCGAAGTACTCCAAAAATTGAAATATCACCTCCGGAACTGCACAGAAATGAACGGCTAATCAGCGGAAAACAAGATCCAGAAGAGGCAATGATGTTGCGGGAGATCCTGGGTATGGAACATCTCAGGCATATACGGCTGAGGCGTGTGCGTCAAAGACGGTCTGGTGACAAAAAACGAACGCAAAACCATTAAAGACTCGCAAGTAATATTCAAAACACATCGGAAGAATACCTTAGATATTTCGTTCTCGAACCTTTCCCTTCGTTGGTTGGAACCTACAACAATATCGGATGTATTACTGTCTTGTGCTTGAAGAACTCAGTAGAGTACATCCTGTGACTTACTTCCTTGTTAAATCACGCTCCAAGCATGTAAGTCCATTCTACCTCGTGGTTTCCGACTGCATACAGTCACGTCCAAGCCAAGAAGTGCTCCACGAAATCACTTGCATCCTTTGCTGGGAGTAGCTACCGCAGTTCGGATAGGCCTCCAGAAATGTCATTATAGTTGAATTTTCGAAGCAAATTTTCACTGTTTAGAAAAACAGCATATGACACGCACTGATACAATAGCGTTTTAGGTTCGAAAACAAGGTCCGCGCATCCACGCCCCAATATTGGCTAAGGTATTGCTTATGACGATAGGCTGAACATAGTTATAAATAAACGTGGCTGAATTCTTCGTTTGGGCTCATCCCAATGGCACATTATTTGGTATTATCATCATCATCATTGTCAGCTGTAACAATCGCGCACTCGTCGCACAGTGGTTGCAGCTGCCGCAGTTTCGTTTGAGGGGGGGGGGCTAGGGAGCTGCGCCTTGCAGGCGGGAGATGATAAATTGGTGCATAAATCCAGCACTGTCAGTGGGCTGCCACTACCAGCCTATAATGCCTGTGGGGTCAAAGTGCTCCCTGGGGCTCCGCTCGTCGACATCGAGTACGCAGGCGACATATCTCTTCTGGGATCTGACCCCGTCATAATTCAAACAATAATAAATAATCTAAATAATTCTGCCTCGCGGTTCGGTATACGCTTCACACTTGCAAAGTGTCAAGTGCTACTGCAAGACGGTGGGATAGAACCCTATTCTCATGCTTGCGGATGAACCGATTGAGGTAGTAGACGAATTTGTTTACCTGGGCAGCTGTATAAGTTCTGGTGGTCTCGCGAAAGGTGATATTTCCACCCGGATTGGGAACGCCAGAGCAGCTTTTGCGAACCTGTGGCATAGGCGTGACATCAGCTCTGTCAGGGGTCGAATTCACAATGCTACGGTGCGTATTACTATATGGATCAGAAACCTGGCCGCTGCGCGCCGAGGCCATCAAAGACTTTCAGTGTTTGACCATCGATGTCTTCGGAGTATTTCCCGAATCTGGTGGGAACACCGGATCAGTAATGCTGAAGTACGCCGAATGGTATTCGGGATAAATAAATCACCCTCAATAGATGAACTGATCACAGTGCATAGGTTACGCTAGCTTGGCCACGTACTGTGTATGCCAGTCGACCGACTTCCTCGAAGGGCTCTTCTCACACAACCACGTGAAGGGCGGAATAGAGCCAGAGACGGCCAAACAATACAGCGAATTATAAAAGCGATTACCAGCAAACTCAGCTGCGCCGGTCATTGCCGTTCTTCTTTGATGGGGACCCCGAGACGGGCCATATCAATGGTTAGAGACACTGTCAGACATGGCCCACTCGCGCCCCAATGGCGCTCGCGCATCAAAGCTACTGCCTTCAATGCATAGCTCACTTCCCAACCCCCCACTTGACTACTTGGTATATAAAAGAGCGGTCCACTAAACGTCGCATACTGAGTAAATTACGAACGCGATAACAGGACAGAGAATGGAACGATGTTGTCTCTTTTACCGTGGACCACCTCCAGCAACCTATGATCCATTGAGATAATGAACTTATAAGGAAGACCTAGATCGGTGTCACTGATACGGCAAGCGAAATCCCGGTTGTCTAGTGGCGAAGTGGATACCGGTTGGTCTTAATTACAGTCCTCTAATTCGTGAATACTATACTGGGTAGTCGTGAATACGAAGCTCGACTTACCGTACTTCGAGGATACGGACAACAACATGGTGGGATTTCAGTGGAGACATCTTGACCTCCTGAAAGTCAGCAGTATGAGACTAGATTAGGTGATGTACCAAAGCCCCACACAGTTTATATATCCAACTAATCGGTCCCATTATATCTGAATTACTCCAAATAATCCTTTTACATTCATCTGGAACGCATGCGTTCTTGGATAACTGATGTGACGGATGCGCTCAGTTCACAAGCCGGCAACAGTAAGTCTTCACAGAGATCAGAACACGTGACTACAGTCCGAAGTGCTCCCCTAGAGGCAGCTGTTGTACATCAAAGCAAGCGGTGACTGCCCTGAATACCAACGAAAATATTTGGTTTACGGAAATGGTTTTATCGTATAAGGAGTTTTCGATATCGTTCTATGTAGTTGTTCCATTTTGGAGGTTTTCTACGGTGGACACGTCATCGTCTGTTAAGAGACCTTTTCCGAGCGTCCGTCGCATGCTGGTGTGTCTCTGATTGTGGAGCGACAGTTTACTTGCTACAGTAGAGATGAGGTCGAAAATTTAAGAGCCCAAATATACGATGCATTCTGTCTTCACTTCGGCTTATTATCTGAGCACGTAGCGGTCGGTCACATGGCTTGCAGTTCCCCACGAAACCAGCCGTGGATCTTGGGGCAAGCGTCATTAGTTCAAACGTACCACGCTCGTCGCTTTTCTTGATTTGAAAGTTGCTTCCGACTCTGTCGATCGTCAGAAGTTTTGGCGATGTCTGGCGATCAAAGGTGTCCCGTACAAATTTATAGCCCTTATGAGGACGCAGTATGCGAAATCCCGTTGGCGCGTACCGGTATACGGCAAACCTTTGCCTGAGCTCATCACGCCCAGTGGTGCAAGACAAGGCTGCCGTCTCTCACCTTTCCTTTTCAACTTTTTTATCTATGTGATGCTGAACTTTCACCGTCTGCCTCCGAAATCTCGGGAGTCGAAGCGCTCCCGGGACGTTCGCTCATAGACATTGAGTATATTGCTCTCCTCGGTTCACATCCTTCCAAAATGCGAGCCATTTTAAATAACCTATAGAACTATAAAGCACCGGTTGGCATGCGCTTCACGTCTGCAAGGTGTATAGTACTCCGACATCAATGGGTGGGACCGAACCCAAACATCGTGCTTGCAGGCGAGCCAATCAAAGTTGTGGATGATTTTGTTAATTTGGGCAGTTGTATAAGTTCTAATGGACTGGCTGGAGATAAGATTACGTCTAGAATCAGCAAGGCCAGGGCAGCTTTTACCAACCTCTGACACCTACGGCACCGATGTGACGTCAGTTTGTCTGCCAAGGGTAGAGTTTACACTGCGGTGGTGCGATCCATACCGCTTAATGGACCAGAAACTTGGTCTCTACGCTCAGAGGACATACAGAAGATATCAGCGTTTAGCCATCGGTGTCTCCGAAGCATTGATCGGATCTGGTTGGAACATCGGATTAGCGATGCTGCGGTATTCCAGATGATCTAAGGAAAAGGGAACTCATCCGCGCTTCATAGGCTACTGGTTGGGACATGTACTCCGCATGCCAGAGGACCGTCTACCTCACAGAGCTCGTTCTGCCCAGCCCCGTGCTGAGTGGAAGCGACTGAGAGGTGGACAGTGTATAACCTGGCAATGAAGTATGAAAACACTAACCAGTAAACTGAGTCTGGCCAACGATTGTCGCCTCCCTGGATGAGGACCCCGGGACTCAACTCACCAGACTCTGCCAGACTCACTGGTAGACATGACCCAATCACACAGTCAATTGCGCTCGTGTATCAGAGCTATCGCCTTCACTGCGTAGCTAGCCAGTTCCATCACCTCCGATGCTCAGTTGCATGTCCCACATTTGCCGGTGATCGAAAGTGTAGTAGCTGGAACTGTCTGCCTATGGTACATGGTTTGCTGCTGGCAAATTCATTGATTTATTGAGGTAAAAGTGACCAAACAGTGGCTATATGATAGGCTATAAAATCTTGGCAATTTCATCCTATCATAATACAATATTCCAGGCACATTTGCTGTTAACAGATGGTTAGTTTTACAGTAAACTTTCGCATATTATATTGTTCTAGCCAGCAAGCTCTTCATAACTTTTGGTTACTTCATTAATATCCGACAGCGCAACATGTGTAGAATGACTGAATAAACACGGATAAGATTCCATCACGTAGCATCTATCGTCATCAACGAACCATTCAAAATAAGATTTCGGAATATTTTACATATTTTTTTACTTCAATTGAAGCCAGTCTACATTGAAAACCCGAACAGCAATTTGCAGTCACTTGATTCTTGTTGAGAGTCATTGGCAGTGCGCAACTCACGAAAGTTCGAACCTCAAACCTGCTCAAACTCTTCAACAGCCAGCTTCGCCCTTCTCGGATAGCCCAAGTCGTTAGAGCGCGGATTCACTGACCGGAAGGTCCGAGGTTCAAACCCGACCTCTGCCTTTAGACTTCTCCTGTCTAGGCCTGGGCAACCTGGTAATATCCCATCCCTCGTGCTTCTTTCAGGTGGCATGACAGTTGGGCACCGAAAGGGTGCTACAACTGAACGATGATTTTATTATTTATCATCTTTTGAATTCCGAACCTGCCGGCCTTCTGAATTCCAGCAGTCTGTTAAAGATTATCGTGTGTATTCATGGTAGTAACATTAGCAATAAAATCAATTGCACGTCAAACACTTTTTCTAAGGGCTCATATTCACTCCTTGTCTAAAACGATCTTGTGTGGGCTACCAGGATCTTCTTACGCGAAAGTCACAGCAGTAAGTAGGACGTCAAACAGACCGGACAACAACGCCACTTAAATTCTCCTGAAGTTTCGAACATATCTATCGAAAAGCAGCGAAATTAGATCACGTGTTGGTTCCACTCGCTAGAAGATCTTAGGCCCTATGTGTGTTATTCTTCAGGGTTGTAAGAAATATGGACACGAAGTAAGAATGTGGGCAAAAAAACAGATGTTTTGGCGCCGACGCGAACACGACAGTAGCTGACCTGGTATTCACGTTTAAGATCCTAAGTAAAGTATTCAGTTTCCCTCGACATCATCAGCTGCAGAAACCGCGAACTTGCCGTACATTGGTTATACCTGCCACAGTTTCGTTCATCGATGACATCTTCGAAACCAACGGATGCTACACACGTCAATAATCCAAACGCCACTGTTCCATAATTCGCGAGCATATTGAAAGACATCTTATTGCGCGCAGGAACTGAGTACAGAAGATAATAGGGGTTGTTCACCGAAATTCCCCCAGCTGGCTATGTGGATTTTCAATGAGACGCTGAGTTCAAGCCCCCGTTTCATGGGCAACTGTATCCTGCAGATCTGACATCATGTTTTTTAAGCAAGCCACACATGATTTCACGGCCTATTAACGATATATTGCCAGCAGACCAAGAGACGTTTTCTCTTTTTCCACGCATGGGAACTCAGTGTCCCGCATCGAACATACTCGATGGTCTTACACATGCACCACCTTTGGATTACGTGGTTCTCTTTCAAATGCATGATCCCTGACCAGTCTCCAGTTCACGTGATCTCTCACGAGATCTGTTTCGAAAGCTCATCTATCCCACCACGTTGCATTATCACGCTCTGATGACGTCACTCTGATTAGTCGCAGAACTTTGCAACGAAACTCTCAAACAGAGCCAGAGAGGCCATGATCGACAATTGCCACACACATCACTTCAAAAATGACCGATCGATTGCCCCATGTCAAATGGTACACATGCGGTGTTTCCGACCGAAGAACAATGGAGCTACTCATATACAAAAAAGATGTCTTTCTGGATCCAACCTATCCGGATGTGAATGCGTTCATGGTTGATTATGATTACGACTTGGTCGGCACACCGCTGGGCTGGTGGCGAAAAATTACGGACACTGACTTGTACACAGTGCGCAGATTTTTCGAGGATAATGCTTGGCTGATTTCATTCTGGTTCTTCGGATTAATGCTTCTGTCGGTGATTCTTGTGGCCATTGCAGGGGGAATCGCAAAAATTCCCTCTTACTTTACCAATCGTTGGTTCACGATGAAGGAACTGAAAAGAGAGAACATAATCGCCGATGAGAGAAGAAAATTCATGCAACGAGATGATCCTGATCGATTTGCTGCTGTATACTGTCGTTCGGCTACAAACGAGCTCGGAGTCGGGAGTGTACACAATCCAGTTCCACAAGACTTGCCGGACTTTGAAGCTGTGCGGTTTGTATTTACAGACCCACGGCTGATGGAAAAGACTCATCAAGCATTGAAAAAGCAGAAAATCGATCCAACTCTGGATCAGTTAGTGGATGGAGAACTCGAGGACGCTTTGCTGCTTGCATTGTCGCAAAAGCGTCTCGAGAAAAGAAAACCACTCTCACTCCCTGCCAGAATTGTGGCTAAACAAATGCTCGCAAGAGGTGAGATGAAGATACCAACAGGTCCAATAATAACACCCGAAATGAAGTTGATTCAAGGATGGGAACAACTGTACAGAAGACAGCTGAAGGAAGCCACAGAAGAGAATTATCGGTGGTGGCTGGCGCAAGACCGCACACTACCGGTAGAATCGCGTGAAATAACCGAGAAGTTGCAACCTTTGGTGAGAGCCAACCGTGGCCGAGAGAAAGCTCACAGCAAGGATGACGAAAGTGCTCGTGGCAAGTCAAGGAAGATGATATCCCCTTCTAAAAAAAGGAAGTCTCAATCTGAACCGAGGAAACAATCTACTGAACAGGGACCACCAGCATTACACACCTCGGCTCACAGTATGGATCGCCAGAGAGATCCTGATGACTCATCTATATTGCGTGAAATCGAGAGGATTGAAGAGCATCATTCGGAAAAAGAGACACGAGCACACCATAGAAGGAGTTCTGTTTCGTCAAATAAAAAGAGAGACAAAAGTACACGGGGTCACGACTGATTCCTTACACCTGTGGGAATTTATTTTTGCTTGACTACCCTGGTCCCCGTACCAGAGGTCACTATATCCGTCCAACCCGGAATCGTCCTGAATTAGATGAAACACTGGCGAATTTGCCTTTCGAAGCAAAACAGTGGTTATTCGGTTACGAGTAGGATTTTTCTCTCTCAGTTTCGGGTGGGATCTGTGCAGAAAGAGAGCAGTAGTCGGCTTCATGGTGTTGATGAAGACAGTCTCGTCTCTATCTGAGTGTCGAGTTAAACTTTAGTTAACGTGTGATACAGGCTCTCTCAAAGGATTGGCTAGGCGGATGAGAAAACCCCCTAGAGGACAAGATTCTCATCGCACTTTCCTTCATCAGCTGATGAACTGTTGGCCGAGGCAAGTGCCTGAAAATTTGTCCAGTTTACCGGAATAGAGGTGAACATCTGGGGATGCCTAGCATTCCCCAATTTCATTCCCTTATCTGTTCACCAGTCTGGTGCATAGGATTAATAAGGTTCACATTGCCATGCGAAGTGAGTTGTCACTGTTCAAATGAAGCAGCTTTTGCACCAGCTTTTGAATCAAGGACACTGGCTTAGTCATGTACTTCACATGCCCAGTGATCAGTCGTATCTCTGTGCCATTTTTGACACGGAAACCACACAAAGTGGACCACCTATGGGGAATTCAGTCCGAAACAGATATGTCTTCCGCCCAAAATATTTTGCCAGATTTGCGCTCACTGAACTATCGTTTGGATAGTGTTCCTCCTACCCTGACACGGTTATTCGCTGGGGTGCACTACCCAACCGAGTGGGGACTGCTCGAAAACACGAACACCAATTCCGCAAACCCAGTCACCATCGTCATCATTGACAGCATCACATCAATGCTCAATACCGATGCTTCACTGCCAACCGAGTGGGGACTGCTCGAAAACGCGAAAACCAATTCCGCAAACCCAGTCACCCATCGACAGCATCACATCAGTGCTCAATACCGATGCTTCACTGCCGTACGTTAGTTGTGAATGTCATGGTTGTACGAAGGTTGGGACACTGCCAGGGCGCCCACACTTAGGAGAACGATTAGGGTCCTCAACCAAATCCTTTGGCTCAAAAGCCTAACCGCAAGGCAGCGGTGTTTGGCGGGAATGCAAATGCATTACCATTTCTACGGAAAAAATTGCCACATGTTCAAACCCCCAGCCTAGAGGGCCAGGAAACTGTTTGTCAGACCTCTAACCATTGACCGAACTGGTATGAGAGACTCTGTGAGGGTCGCGGGACACCCGCAGTATAGCTCAGTGGATCGCTGAGGTGCGCAAACCGTCATACCACGGTAAGGTGTGACAGAGAAAACCCAGGAGCCGCTTAGAATGAACTTGCTGCTCATTTCCACCATCTATGCTTTGAGTGATGTGAGCGTAACTGGCTTCATCGATTGACAGTAAACTGAGTAAGTTAATTCCAGTAGGACCCTAGAATCTGAACGGGGCTTATAAGTTTGAATTGGTATTCTCAATTCAATTGCCCGATTGCTTTAGTTCATCAGGGACACGTCATAACCTTCGAAAATTCCACTCCATTGTGCGAATACTGAGCGGCCTTGTGGAGAGCGGTTGACTTCCTGTTCCCTGCGCGCGCGAGTCTGTGCTGAGTTCGTTCGGTTTCCCTATTCGTAGATCCGTTTGAGTGTACGTCGGTGTGTCAGCATATGAGTTGTTGCTACGTTCACTAGACGGTGCAGACAATCGAGTTCCGATGAGTCACCTTAATATGATTTGGTATGTATGAAAAAATACAAATCTCGTGATCCAGTGAGCAGGTGTGAGCTGAACAGTAAAGTATGTGGGTGACTGGGCGGCTACAAACCCGGTTATGCTCACATCACTAAGATCATAGGTGTTGAAAATAATCAAACTGTTTGAACCGGTCACTTCCTTTAGCATTAGACCGGAATGTGTGATGATTCCGAACCACGAAAGCTGTTCAAACACCCATAAATGTATGGAAAACGGGACGTTCGAAATTCAGTTCATCTTATAGGGCGATTCCCCCCGAAGTTCCCCTAAACATTGTTTGTACGGACAGCTGCCGCATATCAGACGATTCAGAGCGCCTTGATTCGCCGGCTACCTTGCAGACCGAATACCCCAACGATCGAACAAAAAACCGCCTGATGCTTGGACCACGGGAAGACACGTTCGCCTAGTCTCACTTTAGCACAGCCAGCTCACAAATCTTGAGGTGAAAGTCACGTAAGGATAAAAAAACAAGTTACTACTCAGCAACGATGTTCACCATGTGTCGACAGTAACTGAGTGCAAACTGACCACGGTGCAATTACCAATGGCGTTTTCAAGACTGCCGATTATAACGGAACACACTAAGGTCATATCGCCGTGGCGTTGACGATTAAAGTGCATCGCAGCATAAACACTACAACTGACAGACCAATGGCGTCCAGCTCTGAAATCCGCAGTTCGCGCAGAGATTTGTTCGCGAGCTTTCTTCGGTGCTTTCGAAGCACACTTTAAGGTTGCGTAAATGACAGTATCTCGTGCAGCAAATAAACACTGACGGCGATAAACCGAAAAGTATTCGAAAAATATGACTAGCCGGAGAGCTGTGGCGTCGGCGTTGAGGCTGAAAACAGAGTAACCAAGGCTGGTGGTGCATTTGCCAACCGACCACACCTGTGTCGCTGCCGTGACACCAGCATCCCATATTCAATGTCACTGTGTGCTGGGCCCGGAACAGGCCTTTCGGTACAAACTTACTCCAAAACACGCTCGGGCATTCGGGGCACGTTGCCCTAGATGCGCAGATCTGTTAAGGTCATCAACGAACCAGAAAGAACCACGACATAGTCAGAGTCCAGAGACGGTCATCATTCGGTTGGCTTAGGTTGAAATCAACAAATGAAGTAAACAATTGCACCAGCGTCCAGTGACGCAGGTGCTGTGAATTTCTGCCCTAACTTTCCAGCCCATTACTGTTTTAATACTCCTAAAAAATTTTAAAAAAATCGCTTAGCTTTAATACCCTTTCGGTGCCTAGCTGCCATGCTATCCGAAGGAAGCAAGAGGGCTGGGATACTGCCAGGTTGTCCAAGCCCAGACAGGGGAAGNCAGAGGTCGGGTTCGAATCACAGACCTTCCGGTCGGTAAATTCGCACTCTAACCACTTGAGCCATCTCGCCCCTTGTTTTAATACTATTAGGGTATCCTTTGTGGTACGCCTAACTATTATCCTGTGCTAGGTTTCATGCCACCAACTCCCTTGAACATTCTCAAAACATTCCCAAAATAAAACTGGTAACAAAAATGTATTAAAGACAAGTTCGGAATGTGAAAGTTAGCTTAGCGAAAGAATAGGTCAGTAATACAAAAACCAGGGTAGATCAAGTGATGGGACGGGGAAAATCTGAGGTTAGAGCTGCCGAGTTCGCATAAAAGTCATTCGTACCCAGAGCCAATATGAGCTGGCGCAGGATCGACCGGATGGAAGTGAAACGAGCCACGGAGACCAGTGACCCAGCCCGGCGCCGAAGAAACCGCGCATGTTGTCTGAAACTCTGATGCGCTGCACATAACTGTTGCCAACCGGTGTGATCAATATGTGCTTGAGTCGCCTTTGAACGCTGAATCCATTGGCCCGAAGAAAGGACCTTGTGGAACCAATGGACGCAGCACAACAAGCCATGAAGTACCTGTTGAAGTTCCTGGTCAGCTGGATCAGCGAGACAGCTGGTGGGACATAAAACGGAGAGAAAGAGAAGCTGTTTGTGGTCCACGTCACAAAATGTGCATTGTCAAGCACGTTGATACAGACCAAGTACTCGAGTAAACTTGAAACTTGCCGACTCCTCTGTAGCCACGACTAAGCAGGGGCATACAGCATAGCAGTAGTTAAAAACTCTGCGGAGAATGACTCAAGAGATGGGAACGGAAACGATGATGAGGTCACACTGTGGTCATCAGAAAACTCCTAACCAGACCCATAACCCACCAGCGAGGCAACAAATCCCCACCCCCGATGGTTACTTATTAGACAGACATCACGAAGAGTACAGACTGTGTTATATCTGCTGATTCGCCAATCTGTTGTATCTGGCTGCTGACCCACTCCAGCGCCTAGTGCAGGAAAAAAATATTCACAGAAGGGAACACAACAGCTATATTCCGAACAAGCGGGTGCGAGAGCGTGAGTGCGTGCGAGTACCAAAGTACAACGGTCTCAAGCTATTTATCGGAGGGACACTGTCTGAACTTGGTCCAATGCTGACGCACGCGGTCTGGCTGCGACGCGCTGCACATTGAGGGGGCGTTGCCTGTCTGGTCAGCATCTAGCAGAGCTGAGGGTCTCAGTAGATTTCAGGCATTCAGTGGTTGCTTTCAGGAATCTGACTTTCCTGATAGAGTACAGCACCAGTCAGCGTAAAGGGGTCACTGAGGAGGTGAAACCCGATGAAAACCTTGCAACAAAACAAATGAAATGGCTAAGACCTGAGAAGAGCATGCACTTGAAACGAAGTGTGACATCCAACGGTGAAGTAGCCCGTCTTTCGTGGATAGACTAAAGAGGCTAGAGGAGGAACCCAACGACCAGTTAGTATTGGTTGCGTAGCAGCTCGGCTACCTCGAGTGCTATCGTGGTCATACGGAGTAAGTCCTACGAAAAATACAATAAACTGGAGCATCCTGATGACAATTGAGAAACTCACCAACGCAGCACCTCCTGAAGATAGGAATGATGTGCACTGGCAAGCTGATCCAAATTCTCGGGCCGTCGATGAACGGAACGCCGCCTAACCACATCGTCTGTTTCATCACCCAACAGAGTTGTGGCAAACTGAGTCCAACTGGTCTTCACTGCCTGGTTGCTCAGATAGGATTCGAGGCCACAAACAACCTGCTGCATTTCGAACAGCCACAGATACACATTAGTAAACTCGGCGCTCGCATCTAACAGACCCTCGGTATTGGTACGTCGAAGTTCGTGGTAGATGGATTGGAGTGTCCAAGCTGCATATTTGACCCGAACAAGCTGACGGAAGACCAAATTGTAGCTGGATATGACCTTGTCATGGAGGATAATGTTCAGAGGCCATGGAGGCTGGTAGACAATAAACAGACGGTCGAACACCGAGTGACTCGGTACATCCAAAGGTGTGGAACGATAGGTCGTCACAGTTGGTTGTTCTTCCAAAACCAGATCCATTGGAACATCAATGATCAGTGGAGCATGTTCATCGATTCCAAATGGGGCGGTAATTTCTTCGGCATCCAGTGAGCGGACTGATGGACAAAACTTCCGAACAGTTGATTGCATCAAGTCGTGAAGAAATTGAACAGTGCGGGCATCGCAGTGTTCAGGGGAAAGATCGTAGACCTGCACACAGAAATACCAGGAATGAAAACCGGCGTTTTAGCGTGGGTGAAAAATAGGGTTATTTGCTATGCACTACTCATAAGGTTGCTGAAAATCCGTTGACAGCCCAAGACCGGTTTTGCTCTCCTTGGGGGTCATCAGGTAGGCGCAGTTCCCGAGTTTCCGTCAACCTTATGTTCTACTTGAAACCAAACTGCACGAAATTAGCGAAATACACTCATTTGCAAACTAATTTGGTTTGCCTGGAAACATCACAAACGAGAGATTCAAAATGGCTGTTTAGTTGATGATCAGTCGCCAAGCCCGGTGGACTGATCCACAGCTGGGACTTTATCTGGACCTCTTTCCAACCAGCCATATGCTGGAGACTTGGCAAACAAATGAGACGCCTCTGTCCAGTTAATTCAATCACCACTCCCTCTGATGAATAGTGACGTTAACAAATAGGGATTATAATCACACAACCAAAAACTTTTCTGCATCAAGGTCAAAACCCCGACCCGTAGCTGCATTAATTCATTGGACAAACAGAAAGATTCAGTGTCAACGAACAAGTTATTTTTTTAGATGTAATACACTACTCATGCACTACTCATACACTACTCATACATTACTCATATGGTTGTTTTCTAACCCTTTCATCTTGAGCACGGTGAACAAGTGGAAACCTGGACTGAACTGAAGTGAACTCATTCAAAATAGTTTGATAAGCCGAGAGGGAACTGTGGGAGAAAGTACTTGAAGTCATCAAAATGAACATTTCAAGTAAACAAGGTGAAACGCGATTGTTGCTTCTATAACATGTTGCTACGAGGGGACAGAAAACATGCAACAACGAAAGTTGAAGAACGATTGACATCTCTTGCGCAGTTCTGTAAGGCTCTTTCTGTCGTTTCAGCAAAAACAGCAACTAATCCATGGGATCAAAGTGGCGAACTGCAAAAGGTCCCATGGGATGGAGGATGACAACGTAAATAGCCTCATGAGTAACCGACAGGTGCTTTCCGGAAGTTGCGCACTTGGTTGACAGATAATGCGATAGGTAACTGTAGTTTACGGGTGCTTCTCAACACAATAGAGAATGCAGCCAATGGTCATGAAAAAGTGCAATTTTGGCATAAAGAATGGGTACACATAGCGGGATCATATACGAAGTACCTTATCCACTGTAGTGTTATTCATCGACTCATGTACAACATTGGAAAGGTAAGACGATTGTTCAGCTGTAGCACCCTTTCGGTGCCTAGCTGCCATGCTACCTGAAGGAAGCACGAGGGCTGGAATACTGCCAGGTTGCCCAAGCCTAGACAGGACAAGTCGAGAGGCAGAGGTCGGGTTCGAACCACGGACCTCTCGGTCAGTAAATTCGCGCTCTAACTACTTGGTCCATCTCGCCCCACTAGAAAGGTAATATACTTGATGCTCGAGTGTGGGGTTTACTTATCAGACGGAAAACATTAGGCACTTTTCTAATAAGGCGGTTTGCATTTGTTCCCAGAAAAAAATCAGTGAGATCCCATTGATTCAATTCTAGCGTGGTGCACTGAATATGCGTAGCATCCAGAAAAATACTGAGACTCACTTTTTCAAAAAGCCCTGTGAGCAACACTTGGGCGAATTCACCATCTTGTAGGAAGTAAATCTGTCTCAAACGATGAAACTGTCCGGCCAAGTTCAAACTGTACAAAAGGTGGTTGCAAAGAGCCAAATCCAGTTGGTAAATACTGAAAAGAAAGAGGCACCACGATGAACCTACATGTATGAGGAACGCAATCAAGAACAATTGAAGGAACTCAGAAAAACCGTTCAGCTTTCGGTGCCTAACCGCCATGCCACCCATAGGAAGCAGGATGGTTGGAATACTACCAGATTGCCCAAGCCTAGACAGGAGAAGTTGAGATGCAGAGGCCGGGTTCGAACCACAGACATTCCAGTCATTAAAGTCGCGCTTTAACCACTGAGTCACCTCGCCCCTAAGAGAGCAAAGCAACTCATCTAATATCACACGGTTAAATAGGAAATGTCAAACATATTGAAGTAGGGTGTGTGAATAGGTACAATGAAGAGAGAGCATACGAGGTTGAAACCGTTGCGAACAGATCGTGGCTTGCTAGGGGTGATATGGGCAACCAAGCATATAACAGGGGTTGAGGACTCCAGTGTCCATCCCAACCAGTCGACAGCAGCCATCTTTGCCCGGGATAATATGGAGGTAATAAATGACTGTCTAGTGTGTATCAGGAGCAGCCACGCCTCCAATGGCGCTCATGCAACCAGGCTATTGTCTTTAATGCCTACCTTCCGTCCCAATCTCCCCAATGGAAAGCCCACTGACAGCCCTGCATTCACGAATTATTCATACCATCTACCGCCTCCAATGCGCAGCTATCTACCCTATCTTCCCGAATCATCGGTGAACGAAACTGTGGCAGCTGTGAACACTGTACAAGTGTGCGGTTCTTACAGATGATAATGACATGTACCAGCAAAACTGGAAAATTTGTATCCATAGTGTTTGGTACTCGACTGAACTGTGAGCTGCGGCAACACAAAAGCCAAAAAACACCATAAACGAGAGATTCGGCTGGGTTCGAAGTGAGTCTTCCGTCAAAACCAAACTGATATGCAAATGAGTACATTCGTCGAAATCTCCTCAATTTAGGTTCAAGTAGAACATGAGGTTGACAGAAATTAAAGGGCTGATTCTACCTGGTGAGTCTCGAGAAGGGTGAAACCGGTCATGGGCTGAGTATTCAGCAACCTCATGAGTAGCGTATTAAGTCGATACAAAGTATCGCGATATCTGGAATACTGCAGCAACTGAAACATGATGCGACCTGGTGCAGCACATTCAGTTGCCTAAGAAACTCCTAACAGAGAGATTAGGCTGGGTTCGGAGTGAGTCTCCTGTCAAAACCAAATTGATATGCAAATTAGTGTATTCGTCGAAATCCGTTCAATTTAGGTTCAAGTAGAACATAAGGTTGATGGAAACTTGGGGACTGCGTTCAGCTATAGCACCCTTTCGGTGCCTAACTGCCATGTCACCCGAAGGTTGCACGAGGGCTGGGATACTGCCAGGTTGCCCAAGCCTAGACGGGGGAAGTCGAGAGGCAGAGGTCGGGTTCGAACCACGGACCTTCCGGTCTGTAAATTCGCGCTCTAACCACTTGGGCTATCTCGTTTATGTGATGAACCCTGAGAAGGGCGAAGCCGGCTGTCGAAGAGTTTTCAGCAACTGTATGAGTAGTGAATTAAGACTCGTTAAAACTCAGACAATACGAAGAGGTACAGCGCAACCAGTCCATCGAAGAAATCCTTGTGAAAGGATTATACAATGTGGTACGGATAGGCTACGCAAAAATGAACAAGTGGTAGGATGGCATTCGTAATGTCTTTTACAATTACTCACTAAGATGTGATTGGGGCAAGGACCACCTTGTAGAGCAATACATGCAAAGGTATCACATCAAGATCACTCTGTAAAGTATTCGATTCCGTCACCGAATCCGTTGGATGGTGAACAGTGGTGGGACACCGAAGTGACTCGAAGGGATCGACCAGCGTCAGTTGATCTAAACGGAGAGGAATCACAACGGTAAGAGCGACCGAAAACATGTCAGATTAACAAAAGCTGTCGTTAGTATGCATTGTACGGAGGCATGAGTACTGATTAATACTCCAATGCAAAACGAGTCCGGACTACTTATATAGACTTACCAAGCCGTGGAAACTCCGTGGTAAAACCCTGCACTCTCGATCCAGTGGAATGTGACTCTTCAAGCTCCAGAGCCTCTTCAAAGAATTTGATAGCATCGGGTTGAGCGGATTCCACTAGTGCCCGATCAGCATCTTTCGCGCGACGTTCTTCTTCCCATTCTAGTAGTAAAAGTATTTGTAAGCGAGCCGGAATTTTTCTGTATCATCATAACAAAGGATACTTTCCTTTTCACATTAAAGTGCCTCAACGAGGAGGATGCATTATTGAGGATCTCAGTAAATACCCTGGGTCAGCTTATCTAGAATGCGCAGAAAAACAAACACTCGTGTTTTGAAATTCTAAGATTTACGCAAAATGGGTGAACGGGTCTACGAAGCGGTCCGATGAGACCATGGTCCTCTAAATATGGAACCCATAACCCAGTACATCAGTCGTAAGATGGAAAATACACACATGGCCCAAGTACGTGCCGTGAAGCTTGGTTTCATGTTATGAGGTGAAAAAAACTGAAGAATCCCCCTATGCCATAGGGTGAGTTGACATTCGTTTCTGAATGTACCTGCCAAAACACTCCAATGGATCCAGAGCAAACTATGTAATGTCAAATACAGTTCGTGATGCGTCACCTGTGCAGCCAGCAGAAACGTCCCGTAGCCGGCGCCAACCTGAGGTAATGATAAAAAACCTATCAGCTGTAGCACCCTTTCGGTGTCTAACGGCCATGCTACCAGAAAGAAGCACGAGGGCTGGGATACTGCCAGGTTGCCCAAGCCTAGACAGAGGAAGTCGAAAGGTAGATGTCGGGTTCGAACCACGGAACTTTCGGTCAGTAAGTTCGCGCTCTAACCAATTGAGCCATCTCGCCTCTATGGTAATGATACCGAATGATAACACGGTAATGATAACAAAGGATGAATACAAGGTAGCAGTTCTAAAGCTGTTGGTACGCCCTGCTTATGGCCCATTCATCATCATCATTGTCGCCGACAGTATGACATCAGTGTTCAACACCGATGCGTTACTTCCGTACAACCAAGATTCATTTGATTGAAAGCCTTATTGTAAAGAAAAGAATAAAGGTGGACGGGGAAGAGACTTAGTACTAGCTAACTACACCTCCAAACACTCATTCAGAAAATCTTTCGGTGTCTAACGGCCATGCTACCAGAAAGAAGCACGAGGGCTGGGATACTGCCAGGTTGCCCAAGCCTAGACAGAGGAAGTCGAAAGGTAGATGTCGGGTTCGAACCACGGAACTTCCGGTCAGTAAGTTCGCGCTCTAACCAATTGAGCCAAGTCAAGGGTTGGCCACCCCTCTGTTTACGCCACTCTGAACTGAGCGTGGAAAACAGCACTCTCTTCGGCAAGCAGTTGAGACGTATGGAAGGTCCGGTGGCCCGCATCATTCATAATGCATACCCGTGGTACATACATTACTAGCCATTCATCCGATCTGTCAGCAGCACAATGGTTACACAGAGTCTCACCTCTCGAGGTTTCGGAATGTCCAGTGTCCTAATGGGTCATTTACAAGTACACACACGAAACAGAATGATGGAATGAACACAACACGACTTTGCAACAACAACGTAAGCAAACGGAAGATCCGACAACCCAAACCAGCCGCTCCTTACCTAAGCTTCCTAAAGGTTTGGCCAGCGGTATCAGTCCCGGTGATCTCCCGAAAGATGATATTTCCATCCGGATTGGGAAGGCCAGGGCAGTTTTTGAGAACCTACGTCACCTGTGGCTTAGGCGTGACATCAGCTTCTCCTTCAAGGGTTGAGTTAACAATGCTGCGGTGATCTCCATATTACTATAGGGATCAGAAACCTGGCCGCTACGCGCCCAGGACGTCAAAAGACTTTCAATGTTTGACCATCGATGCTTTCGAAGCATGGCCCAAATCTGGTGGGAACACCGGATCAGCAATGCTGAAGTACGTCGAATGGTAATCTAGAGAAATAGCTCACCCTCGATAGATGAACTGATCACACTGCACAGGTTGCGTTGGCTTGGCCACGTGCTGCGTATGCCAGTCGACCGACTTCCTCGAAGGGCTCTTTTCGCCCAACCATGTGAAGGGTGGAAGAGAGCCAGAGGCGGTCAAACAATGACTTGGCAATCATTACCAGTAAAATCAGCTGCGCTGGTCATTGCCGTCTTCCTGGATGGGGACCCCGAGACGGGCCATATCAATGGGTTGAGACATTGTCAGACGTGGCCCAGTCGCGCCTTCAATGGCGCTCGTGCATCCAAGCTATTACCTTCAATACATAACTCCCCTCCCAATCCTTCCCCCAAAAGTCCACTGACAGCCCTGTGTTCACGAATCATTTACGTCAGCCACCTAGCCCATCTCCCCAGATCATCGGTGAACGAAACTGTGACAGTTATAAGCTCTGAACGACAAGCGTGCGGCTCATAAAGCAGGTACTTTTGATGATCGCAAGACAGCGAGGGCTATCCAACACTACTGAAGCCCTATAAATGAATAAGAGTTGCTAAATGAATTGTCTCCCAAGAACGAAAACCCTAGAGGAATTTAAAACACTTTGGAGATCATTGGGACAACATAGGCAAATTCTGAGGGTTCAGAAAACACGTCATACTCGTCCAAAACACGTTGGTGGAGGTACAGTTGTCATCTGCGGAAGTCTGTCTCGATTCAACTGCACAAGGGTGCGGCTACATGAGCTTTCTCATGGCATCAAATACACAGGCATAGCGATATATCTTCATAGCTTACTTGAGGGTCGACATGCCGGACCAGACCCCTCTCCATATAGCACCCTCTGTATTGTAGAATCAGAAGGGTGACCGAGCCGAACGGGAGCGCTCGTGACAGGACCCGAACCAATTACGTCGGTCGTCTCGGCAGACGTCTTCACAGTTGGGTCCTGCGGCGGAGAGCGAAGGGAAATGAGACGGAGTCTACTTTTCTAAAAACATACAATATAGACCATTCCCTAAGACGAAGTGACGCGCACCCCAACTGAAATGAATTTACCGACCCAACAAGCTACTGCTATAGAAAAATGCCAAATAGGCGAAAGACCATCGATGCTTTCGAAGCATGGCCCAAATCTGGTGGGAACACCGGATCAGCAATGCTGAAGTACGTCGAATGGTAATCTAGAGAAATAGCTCACCCTCGATAGATGAACTGATCACACTGCACAGGTTGCGTTGGCTTGGCCACGTGCTGCGTATGCCAGTCGACCGACTTCCTCGAAGGGCTCTTTTCGCCCAACCATGTGAAGGGTGGAAGAGAGCCAGAGGCGGTCAAACAATGACTTGGCAACCATTACCAGTAAAATCAGCTGCGCTGGTCATTGCCGTCTTCCTGGATGGGGACCCCGAGACGGGCCATATCAATGGGTTGAGACATTGTCAGACGTGGCCCAGTCGCGCCTTCAATGGCGCTCGTGCATCCAAGCTATTACCTTCAATACATAACTCCCCTCCCAATCCTTCCCCCAAAAGTCCACTGACAGCCCTGTGTTCACGAATCATTTACGTCAGCCACCTAGCCCATCTCCCCAGATCATCGGTGAACGAAACTGTGACAGTTATAAGCTCTGAACGACAAGCGTGCGGCTCATAAAGCAGGTACTTTTGATGATCGCAAGACAGCGAGGGCTATCCAACACTACTGAAGCCCTATAAATGAATAAGAGTTGCTAAATGAATTGTCTCCCAAGAACGAAAACCCTAGAGGAATTTAAAACACTTTGGAGATCATTGGGACAACATAGGCAAATTCTGAGGGTTCAGAAAACACGTCATACTCGTCCAAAACACGTTGGTGGAGGTACAGTTGTCATCTGCGGAAGTCTGTCTCGATTCAACTGCACAAGGGTGCGGCTACATGAGCTTTCTCATGGCATCAAATACACAGGCATAGCGATATATCTTCATAGCTTACTTGAGGGTCGACATGCCGGACCAGACCCCTCTCCATATAGCACCCTCTGTATTGTAGAATCAGAAGGGTGACCGAGCCGAACGGGAGCGCTCGTGACAGGACCCGAACCAATTACGTCGGTCGTCTCGGCAGACGTTTTCACACTTGGGTCCTGCGGCGGAGAGCGATGGGAAATGAGACGGAGTCTACTTTTCTAAAAACATACAATATAGACCATTCCCTAAGACGAAGGGACGCGCACCCCAACTGAAATGAATTTACCGACCCAACAAGCTACTGCTATAGGAAAATGCCAAATAGGCGAAAAAAAACCTGCCACAAGGTTACAAGTAAAGCCTCAAGAAACATTTAAGGCCAAAAACAGAATTTCTTTAGTAAAATCAATGTTAGCCACATCGTCCGACCGTGGTTAGATGGATGTTTACGAACTCTTCCGGTTCTGTTTGCCTTCCGGCAAACCAAGGACTGTGTCTACAAAATTAAGTGTAATGACTGCACCAAGGTTTACATAGGACAGACGGCCAGGGAACTACCGGCTGCCCCAATGTCTACATAGGACAGACGGCCAAGGAACTGCCCACCAGAATCAGAGAGTATAGTAGAAAAATAAACAGGCCACTTAGAAACGCAGATGAATATCAAGCGTTACTGAAAGATTCGGCAATCGCTGAACACGCACTGGGCATGGGACACAAAATGGAGGTTTTGAAGCGGGGACTACGGTCCACGTCACAGAGAATGATAGCCGAGGCAGTAGAAATCGCCAAGCACTCCAGTGTTAATAGAATAGGTGTGGAATTGGCAAGCGTGTGGAAAACGGTTCTGGATCAGTCGAGCTGACACGTGTTGGTGTGCGGTCATCAGAAGGAAGAGCAGTCATCACCTGAAGTCCACTTGACCTCAATCCCCTCAAACCAAACTGTCGGAGCACTCACGACCCCACAAAGACCAGGGAAAATCTACCAGTGGCAGCCGAGGTGAATCATCAACTGAAGAACCCTGAAGTGGAAGATTAATGAACCAAACCCGATCAGAATTAGTTTGACCGCCCTCCCCCCAATCCACCAAAGCAAGATTTTGACAACTTCACTAACCGATAAGAGCCATTAATTGACACTCAACACGGATCTAGTGTGAAAATCCAAAGAGGATTGACTTACTGATTGGTTCCCCGCCTGCCTTATAACCTGGCCAATTTGGTGACTTGCTCACTTGGCCTGATGAAGCTTTTGTGGCAAAAGCGAAACGTTGCCCAAATAAAAACTACCGATTGTTTATCAAGCTCTTCTGAAACGAAAACTCTGACAGTTCACTATCGATATCGCCCTCCTAGCAATTGACTAGAAATTGAATATCATTCCAGATGAATTGTGACGCAACTGTTGTGCAGCACACCTGGTTGAAGTGTCACAAACAACAGGTTATCGAAAACTTCCAGAGCTTCTCCTTGAATTGTAAGCGGCACGTCCAGAAACTGCACGTTTCGAAGTACGATGGTGCAAGGCGCATGCAGAAAGGTGCTATGATGGTGGTCAGTTTATAAAAGAGCTGGTTCTTGGTCTTCACCTTCAAAGAGTAAGACAATGCCACCTACGTACTCCAGATCGACAGGGTTCTCACCAGCAACGATTAGAACACAAGGGTTTTGAATAACTCCCAGCGTTAGCCCCATTATTTCATCGATGATACAGTTGAACAACAAAAGGAGAGAAGAAAATTCTTGTCGGACACCATCTTTTGTGGGGAAGCTTTCTCAGAGTCCACTCGCAATGCCCAGAAGCAGATGAATATGGCGTTCGTGCTGTCAGTTTCCTTCCAGATTGTCTGATTGAGCGGTTGGAGGTGTAGGCACCTCAGTATGCTTGACATAGGCCAGCACTAGGTCCCCTCCCTCACCCACTCTTCTTCTCTTCTCTTCACTGTAGGGCTTTTAATACAGTTATATATATATATAGACGAACCTTGTGGTTGTACGGCAGTGAAGCATCAGTGCCAAAACTGATGTTGCTGTCTTTGATGATGGTGATGAATATTGGGACCAGATTACGTTCACAAGCTTCTGGGGCATACCCTGTTGAGCAGTGTGGTTAACAGGACTGACTGACCGACAGAAGCGAGAGTAACCTTGAAGTCAAGGAATACCTAAATTATGAGCAGTAGCTCAGCCCTCGTGCTTCGACCAAGTGACACGGCAGCTGGGTGCCAAAAAGGTGTCAAAGATGAAGAACTGTTAAGTTAGTGCCACACCTAAAAATGAACACTAGGCTTAAGTTCCGCGCTCACTGAATCTACTTAAGAGAAAGGATAAAGGTGGGTACAATTTGATAAAATCCAGAAGCAGACCGGAAAATATTGGCAAACGGTTAGGCGAATGGAATGCGAAAGCGGTTGTTGCAAGGGCCTAATGTATGTAGATGGCACGTAACGACCACATGGGGAATAACTGAATGGACGGCTAATTCTGGTATGTAGATGCCTCTCTCTACTTCAATACATTTCCCATTTTGACCTTAAGGGATGCAACCAATGACGAAAGATACATTACTCACAAACCTTGTGATTGGGGTACAATACGGTGTGTAGTGTATCCTTAGGCTCACAGATGCCCGCGTTCCGATGCTTATATTTGGCGCGAAAACGTTCTAACGGATCAGCCGCACTTGGCGCCGTGTTCTGAGAAACTTGGCGGGATTGGACAGAGTCGGTGACAGGTTGGACATCGTTGGCGACTTCACTTATGCATGGAGTAATACCCGCGGGCTCAGCGGATCCCAGAGGCATGTTGTGCCCTGTCGCTTGGTTAGTGTCTCCTGCCGCGTCAGGTTCATGGGGCTCGTTCTGGGAGGCTTTCAAGTCGACAGTAGCCACACCACCAAGTTTATCGGGATCCTGAGCGCCCGCCACAGGTGATACATGGTCAATTCTGAAGAACCGGAAAGAGAACGCATAAAGTAAAGAAACCGGAGGATAAACGTTGACACCGTAAGGAAGAGAGAAAATTACTTTGATCCTCCAGTGAATGGCTTGACACCTGTTTGCGAGTAACTTTGCATAGTAACTTTGTCCGTGTCCCGTTCAGCGGTAGCAGTAGCGACCTTACGTAAAGCAGATTGCTCAGCAGCTTGTTTGTGTGCCACGTACTCCTCCTCCTGTTTTCTTCGAAGTGCAGCTTGAACGCCTCTTCGCTCATCTGACGTCAAAGGGAGAAAACAATTCCAGGTGAGCAAACTACTGCTGGACGATCAAAGTAGTCTGCACCAGAGGTTTCGGCAAAGTGACAACAAGCAAACCCTTCGTAAAAAGGGGTAAAACAGCCACTTATGGAAGCCATAATTTTCAAAAACAATCGGAGTGGTTAGAACAACACCACGATACCAGACGACCTTCACAGTTGGATAACTGACGCAAGCACTCTATATCACGGCGACGTCCGAAGAGCCCCGCCCTAACGCTTGTAGTTTCATCGACGATCTATCGATATAACGGTAAACCTATCTCAGCATCGCTGAAGGTTTAGCGGAGTTGTAGTAAGAACGGCTATATCGTCCATAGTACATCTACTAGGTTGTGGCGTTTGTGGAGCACGCACGTACGCAGCATCTTGTGGAGTGTTTCCGCTCTTTCAAAAACCAAGACTATACCTAAGCAATAGTGTTCAAACGAAGATTGTGCTTCGCTTAAAGTGCGTGCTAGTTCAGGTTTTAACGGTGCCCACGACGCACACCAACAACTCACCTTCGGAAATGTTGTGAGTGCGTGTTTCCATGGCACGTTTCAGTGCATCCTGTTTCGCTTGTTCCACTTTTTGCCACAGTTGGTATCTACAACACAGTGAGTATAAATGCAGTAAGTCAACAATCCACACTGAGCGCGAAAGACGAAATATCAATCACGCCAACAGGTTACTTATCAGGTTAATCGCCGAATCGGTTAAGCACACTGATAGCTCGTTAGGATGTAAACAGTTTCTCTCACCAGTCACTTAGGTAAACTTGATAGCAACCTAAATAAACGTTTCCACTGCATTCTCTGATTTGTTGATAGGTGAGACCTCACTGCCGTCTATCACCCAGCACAACAGGCATCATTCTGTAGCAGATAATCGCCAAGAGGACATGTAGAATTCACCGCATATTGGGATGAGTAAGTTGAAGGAAAAAACTATGCATCTTTGCCGACTTCTTCAAGAGCAGACTACCTAAAGGAAAACATCCAGCAAAGTCAACCGTACCCCCAAAAAGGAGCAATTATCTCATTCTGTGCTCTAAAACGGGCCATTAAAGTTACATTTCCTCACATGAATCGGTCACTAGCTGCATAGAACCGATTACACGGCGGAATTTCAAGGAAAACGTTCGCCGAAAGCCATCACGCAAACACGGATAGATTGATTCCTGTGAGGAGTTGACTTACTTTATTGAGGTTGTACAGATGATAGGACGAGTAGGCCCCATGAACGGACAGTTTATGAGCTGTTAGATACAACACGTCTTTGAAAGCGTGAACAGATGCACGGCTAATTTATACCCACAAAACAAAAATATAGGAAGCGACTGGATGATGTCACCGCTGTGATACTTGGGAGAGACAGAACCAAGACAGCATCGGATCTACGAAGAACACACCGCTTCTCAATGTGCACTAGGAGTGGACGAGGCCAAACACCATTAACAAACTGGTGACCGCAAACTGGACCAAAGTGAGGACAGTGCTGGACAAGAAAGATCAATATTTGCGAGAATCCCATGCTACATGGGATTCCGCAACGGGATCAGGAAAATATCCCTGCGGTTACGTCCCACCCCCAGAAGGCATTCCGTAACGTTGTACATCTTGTTACATTTGAACGTGGTCAGTTAAGGTTTGATTAGCCGGATGTCTTGGACCGGCGGAAGCTCATACCACATCCATCATTGTGTGTGCACGCTGTGAGTACTGGTGAGTCTTCAGACAATTTGTGAGGGTTAATCACAGTGATGTAGGAACGAGGAATACCATTAAGCAGAAAAATTGATATGGCGTAAGCAGATGTACCACAGGATGTTGTGACCTACTGGACGGAATTCAGAAATTCGCTTTGCTGCTTCCCTTGAGATTACTGTAGACGTGCATCAACCAATGAAGACTGAAACCGACAAGAGACAGCGTGCTGCAATCAGATTCTGGGATGACTAGTGAAAAAAGACGTCTCGTTTAAACTTAGTAAATCAAGAAAGCTTACGTAGGGCACCTGACTAATCTGTTGTTTCATATAAGAGATTCCCTTTTAAAAGTAACTCTGCATTCGGTCCCTATTTTTACAAGAAAACGCGGCTGACGGATATCAGTGGCGCTTGCGCTGTCAGCTTCTTTCTAGACTATCTGACTGAGTGTAGGTATGTCAGAGTGTTTAAAATAGGTCGGAATCAGGTGACCCCTCACCTACTCTTTTCTTTTAATTCTAAGGCATTAAATATAACTAGATAAACATTGTATTTGTAGGGCAGTGAGGCGTTGCTGTCTCTATGCAAAATGGTCTCGAATGGCCCGGTCCGATGGGCATGGATGAATAGAAAGCGATATGAAACCCGCATGATTCTTAAATGGTATGCAATACGGAGTTTAGATGATGAATTATGCTCCCAAAGAGCTTGAAATTTATGATCTCCAAAACAAACATTTGGACAGAAAAATTCTCGCGCGGAAGGAACCACACTTCACAACACTCAGCAACCAGATTACGTGAAACCAATCGGTGCAAATAAGCGGAAAAAGCAAGGGACAGTTCAACTATTCAGTCACCTTGTGGCTTGTGATTGGACAGCAGCTTGACGAAGTTTTTCCAGATAGTTTCTTAATGCATGTTGTTGTTCCTTTACTTCGGCAGAATTCAGCGGGAAACGCAGTCGTGGAAAGTGTACCCGGTTCGTAAATAGAAAATGCTGTGTAAAAAAAAGAGAAAAAAGAGCGAACTTATGAAGACGAGCAAATTTACTCCTATTAAAAGCAGCAGCTCGTGCTGGAATAAATCCGCATAATCTTAACAAGCATGGACTTCTTTTACAAGTAGCTGCCCATCAACGAATGTCTCCAATTGCTTTAGACAATCCGATACCTTGGGAGCAATCAGCTTGAGCAGATGAATAGATTTAGCACCTCGCAGGACATCCTGTTCGAATTCCGCCGGGAGCAGGTTCATGAAACCATAAGTCCTTTTGTCTTCCGGTTTCACCGCGGTAAATTTGAAAGCGCCAGACCAGAAGGCCGCATCTATGGGTAAGGGCAAGATGATCAGTGAGCTGGGGGACACTGGAGTGAACACAAGTAAGCTCCTTGAGAAGAATGAACAGAACTTACCACGACGAAGCAGATGGCTGTTTGAAGCCAACAGATTGAATTCACTTCCTGAACCATCCCATGTTCCGTCTAGTAGTAACTGCTCCAAAAACCTAAAAACAGACGACCGGCAGCAAACATTAAATAGCTATCAAATCTTCCTACTAACAAAATATTCAGTAACATGAGTTAAATGGGATTACTGTAAGAATGTACAATCACCACTGCCGGTTGAACGAGAGCGATCAACTGTTTGATAGGTGTAGTAGTTCAAAGCGGCGTTATCACTTTTGCCGTATGCAGTCACAAACTTGTGATTTCGAGGGGCACCATGTATGCACATTCGACCATATTTCATACGAAACTGAACAGTGCGAAAAATGGCTGCAGACGTAAAGCATCAGCTGCGTCAAATGGATGACTTATTGTGAGTAGGTTCGGGTAGCCAGTGGACAATATCGGAGGCTTACTTTGGATGATTCGGGTTCCAATTGCTATCACAATTCGCCCAGCCCACATCGACAAACGCTGTCCACCAATCACACTTTACACTATCGGAAACCCGTTCAGGTTTTCAGACCTTGTGGTATGTGGAAGATTCGACGAAGAAAGCTGCTGTCGGCCCAAAAAGAGTCTACGCAGTATGTGAATGCTGGGTTTCAACGGATAACGAGCTACACTGCACATGATATGCACAGTCTAGCTCAAGCAGGTTAACGGACTTCACCCGAACTCAAAGCCTCGCACGTTGGTGATCCACAAACGGAAGCCAAACAAAGTGGCCCTCAGAAAACTGACAGTGAACACATCCAATGAGGTCTCATTGAGGCAACACAATAATGAAACATACGTAAACCATCCTTCCCCACCAGTGAATTTTACGAAGTTCAGCGAACTTTTGCCTAAGATACCTTGCACATTAGTAGTCCGATCACAGCTCATTCCTGTCATGTTGAATATAGACGTCATGTGAGAGAAGCTGAGTAGCGAAGGTTAGATAGATCGTGTCAGGTGGGATGGTGAAATCCAAAATGATATAAATCACAAAAATGAACCAGTAAGGAGAAAATAAAACACATTGGGCGTAAATTCAAAAGGTTAAGTCACCGAAAACTGGAAGTAATGAAGAGAAAAGACACGGCGAAGAAGTCACCAGGCTAGCGCAAGATCAGTCACTAATTATTTCTGTGCAACCAAGGTTGTGTCGTGTCTGTTGACATCAACAGCCTCCGCGATCGGAAGCATATGCTCATGCTTGGGAGTGAAGATAATACTAAACTATACGAGAGGACCTAGGAGCGTGATCAGTGTCCAGCAACTGACTGGATACAGCGTTTCGCGGACAGCCATACTAATACATCTACCACTTTGAGATATATTTACCTATTCAAGTTCGGCCTGTGTACCTGGACCTCATCTAATCGATAAATGAAGCTTGACATCACAACACGGTCCAAAAGGTTAAACATACTGTCAAAAATTGTCCGTAAGACAAACCCGTGTTTTGACGTCTCACCTTTTCCATGTGGGGCTCCCCTCTTCATAAACTAGCTAAACGGCTGGTTAAAATCCTAGAAGCTGTCAAGGCTCATTTAAGGTCATCTCGAGCTTCTGTGACGCCTTTGAAATTGAGGAAAGCGTACGAGTCATCAATTGGCCCACATCAATGAACCAAGTGATATGACTTATCTATGGTTTTGTTACGGACAACAATCTATCAGCAGCAATCCCGCAGGACGATTCGTGCAAAATTGCACGACTTTGTACAACTGACGACCAGTTGGTTTTTTGATGGCACGTAGATGATGTTGCAACGGGAAGCCCATTAGGGTCGGTTCTTGCCGAGTAACATGGAACATCGATGGTCGAAAGGAATCCATAGATTGGTGGTCTACAAGTGGTGATCGAATTCGTGAGATTCACCGCTACTCGATAGCCTGACTAGATGAGTAGACCGATCACTACCAGGTGTACTGGCAAAGTCACCTTGGGCCGGACGGTACATTCACTTCCAAAACTTCGCATGCCTGAACATTGGTACGTAAGTGTCTGACGGATTGCATAAATCGCCTCATGAAAGATACGCTGGATGAAAGCGGGTGTTCGATCAAGTTCATCAATAGGTATCCATAGCAGTGCAGTCATAGCAGTGCCAAAAAGCCAGTCCACTTGACATTGTCCCTCAAGGGCGATAACGCCTCCACCTTAACTGAGCGCCGCTTGAATTAGATTCTCCAACAAACGTAGAATGCCGCTAAATTAGTTGTGACACATCACCGCACCACTGCACGCCAATTCAAATTTGATTTGACCATTTGATTATATCTGCAAATTCAAGTACATAGGCCGAACGATAGAGCATTTTGGGACGCGAATCGCTGAACTCATTACAAATGGGATGCAGACGTATGATTGTGGCTGTCCAAGAAAGGCTAGATCCAGTCAGATGTTGGACATTGGTCACGCCCCTATGCCCTTGGCCGACAAAGTAGGGCTATATCTAGTCAGATGTTGGACACTGGTCACGCCCCTTGGCCTCTCGTATTTATTTCAGTATTACTTTTAATCCCAAACACAAGCACAAGGTTACGATCGCAGAAACTGTTGATACCAGTAATAATAGCAATAATCTGACTGAAAAAAAGCAAAGAAAGCACGACGGCTGAGAGTCAAGATGCAAAACTTAAGTTCGAACCATGAACTTTCCCGTCAGTGAGTTCCCACATTAATCACTGAGCCATCTTGCCCTTAATAGACAAACCCCTTATGTATGCGGAAACAATTAGTGACTAATCAGTGACTAGACTGGGGACTCCTTCGACAAACTTTTGCTCCTTTTTTTATACTAATCTTCGGTGATTTAACACTTTGAATTTACGCCGATTGTGTTTTATTCTCCGTACTGTATGTACGTTACACTCCTCCTGGTTTATTGGGGGCCGTTGGTCGCACAATGCTCTTAGCTAGGAAACCTTTGTGAGTGGACTAAAACTCTTTGCGCTAAAATGTTGCATTTGGTTGCGCATGCGCTTGAACCAAAAACCGTCCTAATCTACATCCATATTTTCGCAGTTCACCAAATTTCATTGTCCACTGAGGTAATCATAACTCTGGCGGAAAAAGTTCGGTGAAATACCTTCCTGGCATCGCTGAGACCCCGGGATGCCTAGATAGGGGCTCAGAAGTTTGGACTCGTACTCTGAACTAAATTGACTGTCTCTTTGAGTCCATCAGGGATACGTCGCAGCTTCCGAAAATTCAATTCCATTTTGCGAATACTGAGCGCCTGCTTCATGTTCGGGATTTACAGCATGTTGAATTTCATGCCTATGCTTGACACTAATCGTCAATCGATGCAACTCGCTCATTACTTATTTCTTGACCCAATGTGACCTTTTCTCCCCGACTGCCTCACATGACATGAACTATATGAACTTAGTGATTCAGTTTTTGTTCATTTCAAACCACCCTCGTTTGAAGGGTCATCTTTCTGTTCTGGTGTAATTATTCCGGTGATTCCACACCAAAGGTGTGGCGCTGGACTCGAGTTTCGCTCTTATTAGAGCTCATCAGCAGTGCATATCCAATGGCCGTGCCGGGATTCGAACCCCGGACACGTGGCATGCGAGGTGAGCGTGTTACCACTACTCCACCACTGCACGTTGGACGCATCTGGATTTCCACCTCTAAACAGGCGAACGTATTCACGTGTGAGCGATGTGATTGGTGTGGCCGACTCATCGAACTGTCCTGGTAGTGGCGATCGACTGACCCGCCAGTGAGAAATTCCCATTCAGGTAGCGTCACAGACGCTTGAAAACCATTGGGCACCTTTTTAATTGCAGTTGTGGGGTTTTGTGGGATCGCTATTTTGTCCATATTCACACCATATTCACTTTTTCTCACATGACGTCTGTACCTAATAGCACGTGGGTAAACGCTGCTAATGCACACGATATCACATCACCATTTTCACAAAATATCTCACGAAATACAAGGCATTGAGACAGAGTTGCCGAAGACGCTATGATACAATCATCTGTTATCACTTTCCAGTGAATCTGTGGACGAGAAACTGCGGTTGGTTTTGGTTAAACGCTTGGAAACAATATGACGTCTGTAACTAACAGCACGTTGGTAAACGCTGCTAATGCACACGATATCATATCACGATTTTCATAAAATATCTCACTAAATACAAGGCATTGAAACAGAGTTGCCGAAGACTCTATAATACAATCATCTGTTATCACTTTCCAGTAAATCTGTGGACGAGAAACTGAGGTTGGTTTTGGTTAAACGCTTGGAAACAGGCGGCGGTCCAAATAGCTTCCTTTGTAAACAAAGTGTATGCTGACAATGTATAGCGGTGGCTGACTCAATGAAACCAAGTGAACTCTATGGCACACTCCTTGATTGGTGTGCAGAAACACGTTCAATCGATGTGCGTGGATTGTTCACCTGGTGACTCTCTGGCACACGGGAGATGATCACGATACCAGTGTCTGATTGCATAGAGGCCTGATGGTACTCCTTATTCCGTTAAGGTATTCACTGAGTCATGAGAGAACCGATGAAGTATCTCAACCAATCTAATCTGACGATTGGTCCCACCTGTACAGCAGAAGCTGATGGATTAGTTCATTTTCTTAATACTAATCTGCTTAGAAAATGTAACGGTGGAATATATCTATGTGCCTAGAAAAGTGGCTTGCTCCAGGCGGTACACAAATTTCCAGAATACAAGCAAACCCTGGTTAACTCCTTGGCACGGAGGCCACAAAAGTTGCCTTGAACTGAGATAGAAAACTAACAAGCCAATAGGAAAGGGGTCTGCAGAGAAATAAGGCCCAAGGAAATCCACCCGGATGAGCAACTTGGGTGGCGTTTAGGAAAAACTGTATGTTCAAATAGCAAGGCAATGGCGCATCGGGAGTCCACGAGAGAATGCTAACTAAATTGGTTTGCAGAACCCTCGAAATTGTGTTCCTTATTACACCTCATCCGAAAGTTAAATTACCCGCTCTTCAATTATCCATAGTGACCCACTGATTTACTCGCGGTTGTCGTGCATCATCATCATCACTGTCGCCGACAGTATGAAATCAGTGTCCAACACCGATGCTTCAGTGCCGTACAACCATGATTTATTTGAAAGACATATTGTGAAGAAAAGAATGAAGGTGGACGGGGAAGGGACTTGGTGCACTGTCGGGCAGGTTATACCCAAGACTGTCTCACCGAATTAGATAACCCTGCCGCCTCTACCCAACAAAACAAAGAAGCCACTGATAACGCGGTTGGATACCATGTATTACAAATTGGACAGGTAGACAAACCAAACACAGTTTGAACCGGTTTGACGTGTTTCCGCACACGGCTTAAAGGACGTAAGAACCTGTTTGTCACCACCGAGGCTGTCACGAAGATACCTTGTTTACAAAGCGATGCTTAGACCACTATTCCCTTTCAACAGTTTAACTATAGCGGACATCAAAAGCCCACCAGATTCCCGTCCAGAAATTCACTAAGAAATCGAAACAGATGAAAGTTGTATAGACTCTCCAGCGTCCAATAGGAAACCGTCTGAAGTTTTACACACCGACGTACATTTTATGTCTGTATCAACCTGCTAAGACATCAGTCAAAACACGTGCTTGCTGTCTCCGTTTTACTAATGTGCATGGGATTATACAAGATCGTTCAGCTTTAGTACTCTTTCGGTGCCTAACTGTCATGTCACCAGAAGGAAGCCAGAGGGCCGGGATACTGCCAGGTCGCGAGGCACAGGCCGGGTTCGAACTACGAACCTGCAGGTCAGTAAATTCGCGCTCTAACCACTGTGCCCATACTGTTGACGACGCTTACGTCGTGTCCCTACAAAACTCCCGGTACCTAGCCAATCGTTTGCAGAAACCAGCCTATATGGCAAAGTAAAATAGAACTTGATGCCAATGTTAAGTTTGTGTGTCTATGTGCGCCACGTGGACGTGGCAATCGTTCAGCTGTAACACTCATCAGGTGTCCAACTGCCATGCCACCCAAAGGAAGCACGAGGGCTGGGGTACTGCCAGGTCGCCCAAGCCTAGACAGGGGAAGTCGAGAGGCAGGGGTCGGGTTCGAACCACAGATCTTTCGGTCAGTAAATTCGCGCTCTAGCCATTTGAGCCATCTTGTCCCCGGACGTGGCAATGCCATGGCTAGCTATCAGTGAGGCAGTCTAGAGTGACTGTACTATACAGAAATTCTTCAGTGCGCGTATTTCACCTGCTCACTTTTCCTCTATTGTTCATGATCAAAGTCGAGACAGCTGAAAAGCATATATCGTGCAGAACGGAAAATGTCCCAGGCGACGCCTTCGAACAGCGATGAGAAATCCCACGGAAAGCGGAGTAAGTAGGAGTTAAGTTTAGGGCTGGCGACTTCAATCAGTGAGGAAAGTGATCCGCACAACTAAATGCGGTAAAACTAGTCCGTGTGTTTTCAATCATGCCTAATCAATCTCGAGTGAGAGAAGGGCTGTTCTGTGGGGGTTCACCGTTCTATGGCGCTCTAAAAGGCACACACACCGTCAACCATGTGAATTAATCCCATAAGAAGCAGTTCTGAAAACAAAATTGCACAGGCTGACGACATTCGAAATGGGACAGGAAACAGAACTAACCCAAGAAATGGTCCACAAGCACGGTTGAATAAAAACCGAGCAATCGGTTCTGCAGGAGTGCATGCAAAGTGATCCGCTCGTGTGGCCAGGTAGACAAGCAGTTCGATGCCTCGGGAGTTTAGCAGAGGACACGAAGCTCCTTTGAGCATGCAAAGATCGGCGACAAAACTAGAAAATAGTGTAAAAACAAAACGATCCATACAATCCAAATCACAAAAGAAAGAAGACGTCGGTGTCTGGTGCAAAGAATGGCCGATTTCAGATATGAGATGTCTGGAGCTATGAAACAACACGAACAAAAGGAACAATGTCGACAAGGTTCGATCTCCTATAGAACGAATACATCTCTTTTTCACAAAAAAAACATTCATGCACGTAAGAACTGTTTATCCTATTAGCGAATATACACTCATTTGCAAACTAATGTGGTTTTTCGAGAGACCCACTGAATCTCTCGTTTGTGATGTTTCCGGATTCAGCTGCGCTCCAGGTGAGCCTCTCGAAAAACCAAATTCGTTTGCAAATGAGTGTA